ATCTGAAGCAACTGATACAATTTCTAGTCACCAAATGCCATCTCAAAAAAATGATCTTCAGTTCTTGAAACTGAAATTCTGTACACACTTACATGAAAGTAAATCCCCTTGAACACAGTGAGATTTAACTTTTGAATTGGTATGAATATTTCAATCTCTTCTTCAAATTTTGCAGTAGAGAGACTTGAGATGTCTTCCAGCAATTCTAATGAAGCAAAGACCGTATAATATCAAACCATGCAGACTGTGTCACTTTGTTTTGTAATTCCAAAAGCAAACGCTACTGGGTAGAAAGTAAAATAACATTTCAAAATAACATTCAGTCCATTGATTTCAAATGCATAGCAGCCATGCATTTTTTTCAGTTTGGTTTTTATTTGGGAAAGCTGCCATAAGGATCAAGAACAACGTTCAGACTGAAAATTGGTGTATATGGCTTTAAGCTTTCACTAGAGAAGTGGCAATTTCTCTTTCTGATAATCATCATGTGTTAAGTTTGGACACCTTGCTGTAACTTTTTGCTACATGATAGGCCAGACCTCAATTAATAATTTACAGTGATGGTGGCATTCATCATTTGGTGAACTCTTTATCAGCAGCAGTGGGTTTTCAAAGTTTGTTATTAATTTCATGTCAAATCTTCATTCCGTGATAACTCTGGCAACGTTTTATCATTAACACTAATGGAGTCGGGATTTCTTCTTTGTAGAAGATACTGTATTTCCCTGAACAGAAAATCTGTATCTTTCTTAGGATGACACATTTAAGAAACATAGGGATGGCTCAGGGAGTGTAGCTATTAATCTCTTTCTGGGGGGTTGGCAGCCACTGCTGCTTGCATAACAAGGATCTGAAGGTTAAACCAAATGATACTTCGAACACGTAGCATATATCTGATGTTTTCAAGCACTGGTAACATACAACTAATGGACCACATATGGTCACCTCTCCTTCATTTTGAGGCCCCCAAAACCATTGCCCTGCCAAAAGAAAACACACTGAAAATGATATGTACACACCCGGATTTTCGGAAATCAACTCACACAGCATCTACAACTTGTTTTTCTGGAAGAGATGGAGAAAGAGCATTGAGAGAGGGATTACTTTGGGAAACAGGAACAGACTCTTGCGCCCTTCTAGTTTTAGAGGCTGATGGTTGGTTCCAGATAGAATTGGGCATCAGAACCTTCCTGTCCCTGGTTGTTGTTGTTTTAGTATTTCGGAAAGTCCTCATTCTGACCCAGATCTACTGTCTCACTAGAATATAGCATTATTTGCTTTCCTTGTGAAAATCTATTTAGTCTGAGGAGAGGCAATGTCTATCATACCAAAAATACCTGTTATGTCTTGAATGTAGGTATGTGCCTGAGGGATTTATCTTTCATGCTTTATAACCTCCAATCCCCAGGACTCCACTCCACACACACATACCCCCCCCCCCATTTTCCTCTTAGCAATCAGCACTTCAGATGGCTACTTTAACCACATTTTGTATACACTTTGATTTTTGTGTATTCAATAAAATTCCCCTTAGGTAGGTCTGTGTGATGCAGACCACAGATTCCAGTGTTTTTGAGGTATAGTATTGCACAGGTCAAGGTATTTCTTTAAAATGTATATATGCAGAACATGTATGAATTCATGCACGTACCCTGGAAATGTATCTAGTAGCAATAACTATATGGGTATGCCATTTAGACCTCCATGGGAGAGAGGTGCATTACTTAATGTGACATCTAGTTTGGGGCTGATAATTCTGCTGTCTCTCTTCATCAAGAGATAATAGATTAAACCAGTAGGACTTGAACCAATGAGATCAAGTGCATTTCAAAGAAACCTTGGCGAGGATCAAACTGAAAATTCAGAGTTAGACAGTTGGGGTCAGGCTTGGAATTTGTAGAAAAATCAATGTTTGAGATATATGCATTGGCTTTCTGTTTTGTTGGAGTGCAACCAATTCAGGCATTGTAGTTAATTATTAAACTAACAATTAGCCATTAATTAAATTCATTGATTAAAACTGGCAGGTTAGAGGTTATTCTTGCATCCCAAGCATGAATCTTGGAAGCAGCTGGCAATGAAATTGATGCAAGCCGAAGATTTAGTTTATTTATTGAGTTCCTACCACACCATTCTCACAATATGAGATTCAAGGCAGTTTAAAATACTTTTAAAAAAATCAAAGCCTTCCTCCCTGCTGCCCCTCCCTTCTATTTGTCTTTGTAATTGATATTTTATTAAAGTTGCATAAAACATCCTCCTAATACCTATCCAAAATACACTTCCAGGTATATATATTATCTAAGATATATAGATGCCAAGAAGCCCCATCAAGACATATTGTCATACTATTCTCTAAATATAGTTTATATGGAGATTGGAGACACATACATAGCCCATTTTGTTGATTAAGATGGTAGAGTAGCAACAAGATCACAAATCATGGGTTTAGACAGTGCTTGGCTATGGCTAATTCTTTGGGCCTCATCAATTTGAAAACTTATTCTTCTGTGTGCCTAACACAAGGGTGTTAAGAGAGTTCCAGCCGCCACACTAATACATGCACTAAACTCTAGAACAGCTTGTAAATTGAATCAAAGCAGAAAATGAATCCCTGACTCAGTGACACTTGGAAGAATTTTAGAAAGGGCTTCTATCAAGAGTAACAAAAGATGCACAAAAATATGCTGGTTAGAAGTCACAATTGGTCTAAAACAGGCATCCCCAAACTGTGACCCTCCAGCTGTTTGGGCCTTCAACTCCCAGAATTCCTGACAATTGAACAAGCTTGTTAGGGTTTCTGGGAGTTGGAGGCCCAAACAGCTGGAGGGCCGCACTTTGAGGATGTCTCGTCTAAAAGATGAAGGGGGGGGGGGTATATCATCAAGTGAATCCAAGGTTCAGTTCATATGTTATCTCTGTTTCTTCTACAGGAAACACCAGCTATCACCTATAAGTGATATATGACTGAGCATTGTTATTTTGTTGCCCATTTTGTATTTCATATTGTAAGGTGGAAAGGTTGTGAGTGAACAAGGGTGAGTCTGTACTGGCCAGGAAACCCACAGGCAGTTCGGAACATGCAGCCTGAATCCGCACCGTATTGCAGACCACACAGTCCAGCCATGACAAGACTTCATTGGTTACACTGGACTGTCACCTCATCCTCTGTGCAACCACTGTCACTCCCAGAAAGACACAGGGGTCAGTGTGAACTCTTGGTCATTGCAGGTGCCCCATTCTGACATCAGCAGTGTTGACTGCATGACCAGGAAGAAAGGGAATGGTTCCTGCCACCTATTTTTCCTGGTCGCATGGCACCTCTATTAATGTCTGATTGGGGTACCCCCAACAAGAAGGACACTCTTTCCTTGGGTGACAGTGATGGTCCAACTGCTGTCTACAGTGCCTCTAAACTATGGGATATCCTGGAGTTTTCCTTAAGTTTTCCCAAAGTGGAGAAAAGTCAGTTTAACCCAGGAAAACCCACAATATTCACTGGAAGTCATAAAACATGCTGATAGTTATAAGTCAATTCAGGGAGACTCCTGGTTTTCCTGACAATGCAGTATCTTTCTAAGACTCAAAAGATTGTAAACATGAATTTCAGAGATAAGATGTTGGTGACATTGTTTGTCATCCATATTTATGCTCCTCAGTGAACTTTTTTAGCAAATATGGTTTTACCTTTATGTGCCATTATGTGATATTGCCAATAACTTAATTTTAAGTATAAAAAGATACTGATACATTCCTGTTGAATAGGCAGAGGGGTATACTGGACTTTATCACAAATAAGAGCAGGGATATCAGTTGCCTATGCAGCTTATATGTAAGTAAATCTTGGGACTGGTGGGCTCACTGAGGTGCCCTTCTGTAGATTGGCAATTCCTGAAGCTAGCTATTCAAACCTCCAGGTGAATTGTTTGATTGCAGTTTCCTTCATGGCATACCTCATTCACCCGTTATATAACTGAGACTCTGGCAAATACATGATTTGGGAAGGTTTCTCTATATCTAAATTGGTAGAATTGACAGGGATCGTCCTGGTTCCAATGTCAATTCGCTCATTGATCTTGGCATTCTGTGTGATTTATAAGTGTGTAGCCCTATACAGGGATCCTTTTGGAGAGCCAAAATATTTCTGATAAATCAATGTTGTCCTCATTTAACCAAGGTTCTGGCATAATTTCTCTTTATTCTATCTGCTACATGCAAACATTTCCCTATTTACTTGTGTTTCTGTTTAGGAAATAGGAAAACTAAGACATGTTATTTTACTGTCATACATACATGTGTTTAGGGAAATGCAATTTCCAAATGACTGTGTTCGCATACTTATTGTGAAGAGATATCATCAAGAAAAAAGGTCTTTTCTCCAGGTTCAACTGTCCTTATCTGACTAGCAGCCAAAACATGTTTCCTCTTTTCCTCCTCATTCTCTGATCCTCATATCGCTGCTTGTTCTGTGTATTTTAATATGTGTGTTACATTCAGATTTTCGAAGTGTTATTTGGCAGCCATCTTTTCTGAGATTACTTTTCCTTCATCCCTTGCCTCAGTCCATTGTTCCACATCCAGATCTCTCTCAACCCGGTTGTGCTGTTTCTTCTTTGTATTTTAGTGTGGTATTATCCTCAGATTAAGTTATTATATTCACAATGTGTGGCATATCCCTAACTGAACCCAGCTCCTATTCGATACTTCAGGGCTTTTTTAGCCACTTTCATTTCTTCACCCACAGAAGTAGACTGGAACTGCTCCCCTCGCCTGATCAGTCTGTGCTCACTTCTATTTGATGTTGCTCAAACTGTTTCTTCCTCTTCAAGTTGTGTTTTAAAATATTACATTTGTTCTTACTAGAGAAGGGATTTTTGCAAGCTGAAGTGTGGTGTGAGAGTTAGTTCTGGCTCATGTGGTACCTCTTTTCATCAGCTTCTGCCTAAAAGGTTCCCTGTGCGTTCAAAGCTCTGAATGTGTCCTCTTCTTTCTTGTTGTAGAATGTCTACTACACAGGCAGCCAGCAGTTCCATGTGGGCATTTTAAGCCCTACCATTGATGATGATGACAACAGATGCCTGGTGGATGTGAATAGCCGACCCAGGCTAATCGAATGCAGTTATGCCAAAGCCAAAAGGATGAAGCTTTATTGGCAATTTACTCAGGTAATTTCCACCTCCTCTACCACCACAAGATCCTGCCAAAAATGAAATGAATCTTTATAAGCAAAATTCCATCTCCAACTGCCACTGCAATATGAATGATCTACAAATGTGCTTCATCAGGTGGGTTGGGCCTAGTTTTCTAAAAGGAGTGAGATCTCTGGAGGAAATCAATCATTTGCACAATGAGATGGGAGAATGAGGAGGAAAAGAGGAAACATGTTTTGACAGAGTTCATTGGCAGAGTTCTACTCCAGTTGAGCTGGGGACCTCATCTGTGTTGGTGTAGGTTCTTTGTGTGATTCAGAATCTTACCCAATGCAGACAAAACACTATCAGCCTTCATAGTGCCAGTGTATGGAAGGTGGCAATGGAGACCTTGGAGTAAGGGTGGGAATCAGCTAGTATGGTCATGCTCATGTGACAGGAAAGATTTTATCATGGTACAACATTCCTCTTTCTTGCTTACTAATTAGCTCTTAGAATAAAATAAGAAAGATCTCCTGAATTGTATATAAATTAATTGACAATACTTTGTCGCTGGATTGTAACACTTCAAGGTACAGGTAGCCTAGGTGCCCACATTATTTCCACATATTGCAGGATTCCTAACCATCAAATTCATCAAGGTTAGGCATCTGGGTGGGCCAGGGGTAAGGGTGGAGCTGTTATTTTAAATTCTGCACATAGCATATTCCTTTTGAATTCTTAACATCATTTTTCCATTGTGTTTCCCTGGGAGTATTAATGCCAGCTTTAAAATAAATTTTAAAAACCCTGTCTGAAAGCCTTCCATTCTCTGAACATCCACAGAGAGAAAGCCCTGAAAAAGAAAAGATGAGGCTTCTTCCTTTGTCTCCTGATGATAAATTAAGAGGCAAGGGAATAATTAAAGCCATGCTGTTCAGAAAGAATTGTTTTGTTAATACCCACTGTGATTAAAGTGTTGTTGTTTTGGAACACATAATGGGATGAAAAGTAGTTTTTTGCAAGCTGCAAGAAAACTAATGAGACTAATCAAGAATTCAGAGAGAAATGCGTACATGTGGCCGCTTTCTTTTATACCAGGAAAAGGAGTACATCTCCCCAGAGAAAAAGGCTGGAAAGCTTTTTGTGAAAATTGGCAATTGATCTTATTTTACTTTTATCACATTCTCAAAATTCTTTCTACCTTATTTTGTGCTTGGTGACGTCTTAGTTAGTTGTCATGTTTACATGAATTCAACTGTCAAGTAAATGGAAAGCTAGTATCCCCATCCTGAAATTGTTCATCTGAAAGGAATGGTCTAAGTAAAATTGCAGTGGAGTAAACAGTGTAGGAGTCTGAAATGTATTTTTCCTCAACCTTGTGATTTTAGAATAGAAGTGGGAAATACAGAGCACAAAGACCCTCCAAGGCCATTCCACCAAAACATGAATTTGACACTAAACAGAAAGCCATCACAGCAAGTATATAGCCCAGTGGTCATCAAAGTGTGACCTGTCAACCACATGTAACTCCAAAGAAAGGCACTGAACCTGCCTACCAGTTCCAAAGTCCTTAGACTCAAAATGTTTATACAGATTTTCCTTTTTTTTCACTTGAAAATCAGCCAGAAGCAACCCAATACCAGCTGTCAGTGTTGTGATTTACCTCCCTCAGTCCAACCCAAAGATCCCCAATCTCCTTTAAAAAACAAAACACGCTGTCCAAATGTGACCTTACACCATTTTTGTGTGCCAAGACATCATGGTGTGACTTACAAACAGAAAGTGCAGAATTTTTGCAAGAAGAAATAATGCAGCCCCTCCATTGGCATTACGTTCTAGCACTATGAGTTAAAGAAGCAGCCTTTGAGAACATTGCCTTCACTCTCAATAGACAAATATATCACCTTTTTTCAGCATACTGTCCAAAGGCAAATGCTAGTTTTTGAAACATTTGCTTGACACACACAGGCCCTGTGTATTTTCATGATAGAAAAGCTAGTTGAGAGTTTAGACCCGAATAGGGATTATTCAAATAGATCAGATGTATAAAAGGCTATGATACTCAAAGATTCATTAAACTGTACTTCCCTTATATAGAGAAACCAGTGTGTAAATCCCCTAAACATGATTATAATCAAGGTAGAAATTTCAGCCACCGCATTTTTTATTAATCTCCCTGTGTTGCTAATGCTCTTTGGTAGTTATCAAAGGATCCTTTAAGTAGAATTGTTTCCTGTTGTGATACACCATGCAGCAAGGTCTAAATGTTAACTAAACTGAGCAAAATCACAAAGCAAAATTTAATACTGTAGTAACAGGTGACAGCTTTTAAGTAAGCAGGCAAATCCTATGCCTGTCATAAATAATGCAACGATAATTTTTCACCATCTTTCTGTGCTTCATAATTGTTCCCCAGAAATGGACTGTCAGGTTGAAATACTACACATCATTCCCATAGTTTAACAGTACAATGCAGACAGGGAGTTGGAAAACAAACTGGGAGGTAGAACAGTAGAGGAGAATTGCTGGGGGTGGGGTTGAGGGATAATAAATGAAGGGATGAAGTTAACATTCAATATAATTGCTCTCTCTTTTTAGACTTTTTTGGTGGGTTTTTTTGTCCTGTTTGTTCAGGATTTGGATTTTGAATTTGGATGAATGAATGAGGGACATTACCAAAGTGGCTAATATGAAAATTAGAAACAAGACTAGTATTCCTTCTGTGTGCAATATAATTTCTGAGATAATCATTGTTCTTCATGCATAGATTAAAAAAATATTTCTGATACCATGGGGGAGGGGGGAAGCAGAATTGCTCTAGTATACACAGCAAAGTAGAGTCCCAGTTCATATTGAAAGGATCTCCATAAATAACAAGCCACAGAGCCAATGATAGTTCCCTGCAATTATAAGCAAAAGACTTACCATATTTACTCAAGTCTAATGCTCGCCACTTTTGGCTAAATTACATTGCCAAGATTGAGGTGTGTATTAGATTCAATGATGTCTTAGAATCACACACATAACTCCCCCCCCCCATGTGAAAAGGCCTAGAGGAAGCCAGAATCCCGGAAGCTGGACAAGGGGGCGGAGGGGTTCAAAGAGGCTGTTCCCAGTGGTGGCAGTTGCCCCAGGACTCTATGGAGCCCAGAGAAGGAAGTGGAGGGCATGGTTGGTGACCCAGCTGTTCCTGCCCCTTAACCACGGATCCTGTCTCCCAGGCAGCCCTTGGTTATCTCACCCACCCCACCCCCAGGCTCACTCCCATGTGGTTCTCATTCACAAGGCTAGTTGGGAATTGTGTAATGGAAGACTCAACCGTCCTGAATCCCTCTGTGGAGACTAAGATAGGATGGGATATAAAAGCCCGAAATAAATAAATAAATAAATAAATCCTAACCAGTCTTATTCATGTTGCCTGCTTCCTGGTGTTTGTAACGTGCATCTTTAAAATTGAGGTGTGCATTGCATTGATGGTGCATTGTACTTGAGTAAATATGGTAAATGCTGTTCTGCTATTGAATTCTCCCACTGTATTGAACTCTCCTAGAGATTGTCCCTGTGTTTGAAATATAGGCAGTCCTCAAGTTACAAACATTCGACTTACAAATGACTGATAGTTAAGAACAGGGGTGAGACAAAAGGAAGTAAGAGAATCTACCCCTAGGGAGGGAAATTCACACCTGGAAGAGTTATCATGGGGAAAAGGTGTCTCAACTGAAACTTTATCACAGAAAGTGAGGTGAAATCTTCAGTACAGGGGCACAGACAGCAAAACAAACACTACAGCGGTTTCTACCCTTCCCTATGCTATCCAAAGCTTGTGTGTGTGTGCATTAGCTGGAGTTACATTTAAAGGATGTACCTGTTCTGACTTACATACAAATTCAACTTAACAAACCGACAGAACCTGTCTTCTTTGCAACTTGGAGACTGCCTTTTCCTTTAAAGGGTTGAAAGTGTCACAAAGCCACATCTCGACCTGTGACTCTGAACTGGTGGCCTTCTATATGCAAAATATGAGCTCCTGGTTTTGTACTTTGAAATAAGCTCAATACCGCCCCGCCCCCCCACACACACACTCGAATTTCTGTTTCTAGCTATTATAGAAAATTCTACCAATACATGTCTAAAATAAGAAGTATTTAACATTAGTATTACATTGTCCTTTTCAATCTTGATTACCGTATATTCCGGCATATAAGACGACTGGGCGTATAAGACGACCCCCAACTTTTCCAGTTAAAATTTAGAGTTAAGACGACTCCCATGCATAAGACTACACCTGCATATAAGACGACCCCTGACTTTTGAGAAGATTTTCTTGGGTTAAAAAGTAGTCTTATACGCCAGAATATACTGTATTTATAAGAAACTAGCTGTACCCTTCCACGCGTTGCTGTGGCCTATAGTAAGAATTTTCGAAGTAGAGGTAGATATCTGGACTATTATGAAAGAGAGGTATATCTACCTATTCCTTCTCCCCTTTTTCTTCTCCTTCCCCTTTCTCTCCTTTCTTCCTTCTCCACTTCTTTCTCTCATTCCTTCTTTAACTCTTTGGTTTCATCCTTCCTTCTCTCTCCTTCCTTCCCTCCCCCTTTCTCTACTTCTTCCTTTGTCCCATTTCTTCCCTATTTTCTTGGTTCTTTCACTTTTTATTTCCTTTTCTCCTGCCTTCCTTCTTTACCTCTTTCCTGCCTTTCCTTTCATGTCTATTTTATCTCCTTCCTTCCTTCCTTCCTTCCTTCTCTCCTTCCTTTCTTCCCTTCTTTCCCTCCCTCCTTCTCTCCTTCTTTCCTGTCATATTATAGTGACATATTATAAGGTAATACGTATAACAATAATATATATATAATATAATATTTTTGTATTATATAGCAGTATATATAATAGTAATATATATATAGTATTGTAATTATATTTATGTGTGTGTGTGTATATATATATATATATATATATATATAGACAGACAGACATATATATATATCACCAACCAGTGATCTACAGCCATCCATATCTGTGTGTGTGTGTGT